TTCCAGAGCCCCCTCGCCCCTGAGGCCGGGGCGTCACCGCTCACAGCGCCAGAGACCTGCCCAGGCCGGGCTGGCAGGACAATCCTCCCTCCACAAGGTCACCGGGTTAGGGGCGCTCGCGTGTCCCCCATGTAATCTGAGCCCACGCTCAGGAATTCAATTTTGCTCACTAAAGTTCAAATCCCATTAACAGCACCGCCGAGGAGAATCCTGCCCCGTGCAGCCCAGGCTCCTGAGCAGAGGGGCCGCGTTAAGCGTCGCTTATGCCTCAACACTTACGGTTAAAGAATAAGGGTGAGGAAGAGAGAGGCCCCAGCAAAGAGCAGATCCTGCTTTGAATATGGGCTGCGTTTTATGAGCTGCATCAATCTAAGACACACAACTGAGCCCGGGGACAAGGACCTGCCCACGAAGCTGGATTTTGGGAGCAGCGAAGGGAAAACCTCTTGTAAAGTCACCGGTGCAGGCCAGGCCAAGCACCGTGAGGGAGGCGCGGGCGGACCTCTGGGGCTGGCGCTGCTCCTGCTGGTAACGACAGGGAGCAAAAACCCCAGGTGGAAGAGCAACCCCCCGCCAAAAGGGCACCGGGAGCCCCTCACCGTCAGCTGCGCTGTCCCAGGGACGAAGGGCCCAGCGGGGGCTCGGGGCAGAGCTCAGCACCACGCCGCCGCAGAGGCTCCGCCAGAAGCTTCCCCGGATCCGGCAGATGCCGTGTCGGAGCATCCGAGGGCATCCGGGGCCTGGAGCTGCCCCTGCTGCCCGCAGCCCCGAGCTGCTGCCGGTCCGAAAGCCAGTCAGTAAAAATCAGGGAAGGGTTTGACAACGTGTATGCCTGGGAAGACAAACAAACAGGGTTTAATGAAACCTTTATTTTAAAAATATGGTTTTTAATTTAAATGCAAATTGGGTGCTGTGTTATCTGTAGGTCACTTGCACTGACACACTGCTTAATGAGCGGGGACGAGGCCCGGGAAGCGAAGGCAGCTAATGGCCGCCCCTTTCCTGGGCATTTGTTTTAAGTTAATTAAAATTTTTCAGAAAAGGATCTGTCCTGCTCTGCAGAGCAGCTCCTCGCTCTGTTCAGCCAGTCCTTTCCTACGCCAAGCGCGCTGCCAGGGACGCTCTCAGCAGGCTATTAGCTATTAATCCAGGCGGGCACATTTATTTCTGCATCCTGAAATCCCCTTTGGCGAGTCACAAATCACAGCCCACCGTTCAATAGATGCGCCTGCAACACCCAGCGTCAGGCAAACCGCCATCGACAATAAATCCGAGCAAGGACGGGGGAGATTCTTCTAAATGCGGGGATGAATTACAGATATAAGTCTTCAGAAGAGACATTAAACCTAATGTGAAATTGAACCCCCAAAGTGATGAGCGGAGCAGTTATCCCCGGTGCTACACGCAAGTTATGCGCACGAGGATCTCATTTAGAGAAAATCTGCCTTTGCCAGGAGAGAGGAGCCGGAATCAAGAGCCAGTTCCCTGCGTCAGGGCTCCGGGGACGCAGCTTTAACCCTTCCCTTGGCCCAGCTCTGCCTCCCGCTGCCGCAGAGAGCTGCTGGGCCCCGCGTCGGGTCTCCCAAGGCTCGGCCCAGAGCCTCACGCCGGGGGGGAGCCCCCCCAGCCCCCGGGCGAGCGCAGCGGCCGTCAGGGCCTGTCGATAGACGCTCACGGCTTCAGCAGTGCACGTCCCCGCGCAGAGCGAATCGATAGCAGCTCATTGGGAGAAAATGAGATAAAGAGCAGCTTTAACAGCTTAGCATCGCTCCGTTTCCCTGCGCCCAGGAACCCCAATGCCGGCCCGTCTGCGGGCGCAGGAAGAGAGGGCCCTGGACAAGGACACGCTCCGAGTCACCCCTTCTCTGGGGCCTCTCGTCCCGTTTCCCATCCCGGCCGGCTCAGGGCAGCGAGAATGAGTCCCCAAAACAGCCGGGAAGGAAAAGAGGGTGGTGGGATCCCTGGGGATGGCTCTGCCCCGCACATGCTGGGGCTCTGGGGGCCGCTCTCCCCTCCCGCAGCCGCCAGACCCGGGGGTACAAGCTCAGCCCCCCGAGGGTGCTGGGATCCTCATCCCCCACCCGCCGCCTTTCCTCCCCTGGGGAGGCACCGGGCAGCGCCCGCAGCACCTCCGAGTGCTCAGGGGACACCCCGGCCCCCGCCGGCCCCCATCTGCCTGCTGCCCATGGCACCGTAACCCCCTCCCTGCTGCTGGCTGTCCCAGCTCGACACTTCAGGGTAAAAGCTGTTAACAATTCAGATTTAGAGTTGTGTCCCCTATCCTCCTCTGCCTGGTCTCATTTTGAAAAGGGTCCCGTGTCCCTTCCAGCTCCCGGCGTGTGGAGACTCCTCCGAGGGGGCCACCAGCTCCTGCCTCCCCAAAGGGAATCAGTCGCAGCGGGGAGCACAAGGCGCCCCCAGAGGTCTGGGCACCCACAGCCACACCCTGACACATCCGACCGGGCTCGGCTCCACAGAGGGGGACGGGAGAAAAGGCAACGAGCACCTGCCAGAGGGTGTCGGGCCGGGCAGCAGCAGGGCGCTGCTCTGACCCCCGGCCAGCTGCTGGTGCTGCCACGGCACCACCTCCCGCCTCTGGGTTCAACGGACAGTGCCGGGTTCCCGCAACAGAGAGAACTCTGGACTGAGAGTAAGCACCAAGGTTTAAACGCTCTCTGGAGTGGAAAAGCCTGGAGGAAATAAAACCAGAAAGGAATGAAGCTCGGATTCCTCTTTCAGCATGTGCGTTCTGAAAACATTTCAGGTGGCTGACAGAGGTAACGAACGGGGACTGTGCTTCCCCTGACTCAGCAAGTCCCGGGCTTTCAACATTGAGTGGTGCCCTCATCAGTGTTTCATTTCTCACCTGTCAAATACTCAGACATTTTGCCCACGCTGAGGTCTGGGGAACTATGAGAGTTCAAGAGGGGAACAATTTTCCCTGATACTTTACAACAGAAAAGGACACAAGTGTTTTAAATGGCGTGTGCCTCTTGGCTGTGCAGAGGAAACAGAAAATCCACGGTCCAGTTCACTGTTTATCAAACGCTCTCCCGATTTATCTGATGGTTTTCAGCACAACATT